TTTGTATTCTCGAACTACATTAATAGTAACGTTTCTTCGAGCTCGAAAGCTTTGTGAACTTCTAGACGCCATTTAAATAAATTAAAACCTTCTCTACGAAATTCCAACGCTACGAAATTCCAGCTTTATTATATTAGATTTATATATATATACGTGATATACATAACTTGATGACATTGAAAAATAATATCACATGTGTGGCGGTGTGGCAAATACACGGCTGATGAGATCGGAAAACACAGAGATATTTTATTTCGATGAGATCGACAAATTTTACTTAGGATCGGGTGTTTTACAAGTTTCATTTTTTTTTTTTTCTCTAAAAAAAACAAAAAAAAATTATTCTGATAATACTTGTTCTACAAAATTATAAAAGTCTTGTTTAATTTCTTTTGTTTTTTAAATTTGTTGTTTTAATGTTTGTTTTAAAATTTCTTCTCCGACCACCATTTGAAGTCTATGAAATGCTACCCATGCTGATTTATTTTTTAACTTTTTATGATTAACATTTTAAAACTTTGTTAAAATATTGCTTTCTTCTCTGTTAAATAATAAATGTTCTTCATCGTCAACAGTGATTAATTGCATTTTTGATTATTTATATAACCTTGTTTGTTAAATAACCTTGATTGTTTAAATAACCAAGGCACTTGATTGTTTAACTAGCCACGGCACTGTATATATATATATATAATATATATATATATATATATATATATATATATATATATATATATATATTTGATTGTCTAAATTATATATATATATATATATATATATATATATATATATATATATATATATATATATATATATATATATATATATATATATATATATATATATATATATATATATTTGATTGTTTAAATAACCAAGGCACTGATTGTTTAACTAGCCACGGCACTGTATATATATATATATATATATATATATATATATATATATATATATATATATATATATATATATATATATATATATATATATATATATATATATATATATATATATCTACACATTCCATATAAATATTAAAAAAAGATTTCATGACTAACGTGTGTTGTTTAGTAGCAGAAAAACAATTTATAAAATAAGTATTTACAAAAAGATTATATATATTACAAATACAGAGATAAATACATATTCAAAAGGAAGCATTAACGTTTACTTTCGTCTATTTTTATTTGTTTTCTTTTTGTTATATATATATATATATATATATATATATATATATATATATATATATATATATATATATATATATATATATATATATATATATATATATATATATATATATATATATATATATATATATATATATATATATATATATATGTATCAGTGCCGTGGCTAGTAGGTTTGAGATCCCCCCCCCTCCTCCCTCCAAAAAAAATACAAATTATTATAAGTTATTTAAATATAGTTTAGATTTAAAAAAATCTACATTGTCTTTTTCCACGGGTTCATCATCTTTAATATTATCATCATTATCATCATCATCAATATCATCATTTTTAACATCATCATCATCTTCATCATCATCCATCATTTCATAGTCTTCCTTTTCGTCAACTATATCAATATTATTCAGATTGATGACTGAATTACCATCTACAAAAATGGCCTCGTACGGTTTGACTTGACTTTGACTTTGACTTTCTGGTTTGCCACATTAGTAGATGGCTTTATTTACTTGTCCGTAAATTTCTTCCATGTTTTTTTTTTTATTAGTTAATTTTAAAAAATTACAATAAATTAAACAAAGATAAAAAGATATAAACAAAATTTTAATCAATGTAAACCATGGGTTCTTCTACACGATTTTTAACTTTTATAATTAAATCATTCAGATTGTTTATTAAATTGAAATTATTATTTTTTTATTGTTCATCGTTTCACCATTTTTGTAAAGTTTTTAATATAACTTGAGAATAAAATTTTTCTTCCGGATTAACTTGAAAAAATAGCGTAATTTCTCGACATATTTTTAAATAACTTCAATTGTAGTCGTTGTCAATGGTATCAATAACACACATACGCATATTTAAATAATTAGAAGTTGCTGCCAATAGGCTTCAAGATAGAATGTCAAGATAATTGTCTCTCCACTACAGGTCCACTAACTTTCTAACATGTTGACTCATAAGATACTCCTTGTTTTCTATTTTCAAGGTAGCTTTGCAGCCATTTTAAGTAATTATTTGTTACTCCATATGTTTCTAGTTTTACAAGAGAATTTTATGATCAACGGTGTCAAAAGCTTTTGACAAATCAATAAACAAGCCGAGTGTATAACTTTTTTTAGCAAACTCATCCAGTATTTGACTGGCTAAATCAGTTATTGCATGATGTATTGAATGCCCTTTCTGGAAACCAAGCTGTTTGCTGAATAAGATATTATGTTTTTCAAGATAACTATACAGTCTGTTATACAAGATACGCTCAAGCATTTTAAAAAACAAGAAAGAGTAGAGTCTTTAGTTAGATGGTATAGAATCGTCACCATTTTTGTATACGGGGATTACTCTTGCTACTTTTAATTGACAAGGAAAAATACCAGTTGTAATTGAAAGATTAAAAATAAACAAAAGAGGTAATTTAATAGCATCTCAAACAGCTTTAAGAACATTAACATTAATATTGTCAAACCCGGCACTTTTATTTATTTTATTTAAGAGGTAATATAGTTTTTTGGATTAATAGAAGACTTGGTAATATACCTTAAAAAAATATAGTTTTTTTAAGGCAAAAAACATCGCGGTGGAAACGTTTTTAGAAGATTAGGAGGTGGATAAGTTATTTAATCGGTATTTAAACGTTAGAAACAAATTAGTTTAAAAAAATGTCATTAAGCGAAGGACGTTTGCTTAAACAAAGTTATTGTTAATATGCTGATAAACAATGTCACAGAAAAGAACATTGTAGTAATTGTTATACTAATGCATACGTTAATATTATAAAAGAAGATTTCGAGTTTTATAAACTAATACTTAAAGATATGGGAATATATTCTCTAAATAACATAAGAGCCAATGTAACAAGTCATGGCGAATATATATTACCGTTTAAATATTTTAATGAATATCTATGTCAGATAATAAGTGGAAATAAAAGAGGAGGACATACAGATGTTTCTACTTTTTTAGGAGGATTTGTTATTAATTATAAAGTACGTTCTGGTTTATATACTATTAGTCATGTAAATAAAAGGAATATATATAATGGTTATGAATTATCTACAATAAAATAATATATTTAACACTTCGTTTTTTTTATTTTAAAAAAAAAAAGTATATATAAAAGAATAAAAAGTTTATTTCTTAATTTAAAAAAAAATTGATGCAAAGGCTTTTAAAATTTGTCTTTTTCAATTTTACAATGCTAAAAAATTGGAAACTTTTCAAAACAAGCGATAGATTAAAAGATGTAAAGGGAAATTTCAACTTATTTCTTCGCTTGGACGGTAGCAATCAAATGAAATTAACTCGTTTAAACGATATTGCTAACATTGATTTTATATATGATATTATATATGAAGATGAAATACTTGAAGATCGAAAACCATTTAGTATGAGTTATGATGAATTTGTATCAGTTATTAAGGATTCATTATCAATATGGTTGTTAAAAGAATGCGAATAAAAAGGAGACGTACTCGTAAAGTTAGACGAAATTTACGCGCTCATGGTTTATCAGACTATGTTACACCTCAAAATGTAACTAATGTTTTAAAAGCGGGTTCGTTACTGTACAGTTTAAGAAAAGCATGGAAAGGAAAAAAATCAACGTCCAACGTAACAAAAACAGTTGCAATTCAACCACCCGTTAACCCGTATAAACCTGCGGATAAAAGTCTTGAAGTGTATTAAACAATTTTTTTGTATATACATTTATTTAAACAATATTAAAATACAAAGTAAATTTATTTTGTTTTTCTTGTGTCTTGTGATTCTCTAACTTTTTTAATAACAGTTTTTTTCTTCCTTTGACAAATGTCGTATGTTAATTTAATTGTATTGATTTTAAAGATCATTTGCTTCGGTATGTAAGCCAACCATACTTCATCGTTGATTAAGTTAGATGTGCATAATTTTAAAATGTTTAATAATTTTGGATTTTTTAAATTTGCAACGTGAATTTTTCCATGTCCAGTGCAGGATTCACATAATTCCTCTACAATTTTTTCTTTAATGTTGCACAAAGCTACTCTTTGCATGTTGTTGGTCGCATTTTTTATATTAAATTTTGAATAATGCGAGTTTTCTTTGCTTTTTTTGTCATGACATCATCAAGAGGAACATCATTAAAATTGTTAATATCTTTTAATCTTCTGTAATCGAAAAAATATATTTCGTTCATATTTTGTTGTTGTTTTAAAGCAAAGTTTTCTTCGTTCATAACATCCCTAATAGCATTAATATCTTGAATAGATATTTTATTCCATTGACATTCATTGTTTGTCCTCAATAATCTACCATCGTTTAAAAAACTTCTAATTTTGTTATTGGTCATGACCTCATTTTCTATAGGAACTTTTATTGTTTTCATTGTCACAGTATTACGTACCAGACTCTCGTTTTTTCTTAAATAGAGATGCAGCTTCATGTCTTTTTCAAAGAGTTGTTTAGCAGTAACATCCAACTGTTTATATAATTTTGTTTGAATAAAGTGAAAAAATGGATGCAAATTTATCTGAGCTACTTCAGAAGCATAAAAAGTTGAAACTTCATAGAAGTGATAGTTCAATAATCTGCTCATTAAAAATAAATAAATTTGTCCTTTAATAAGATAGTTTGGTAACAACGATATATAATAAGCAGCAAAAGGTCCGCACAAAATACTGTTTTTCCATTGAAAGCAAGTTTTGTTATAAGAAAACAAAATGGTTTGTTGTCCAGTCATCGAACTATATTTTATAATAAATTTTGTAAACCAATAAAATTCATGATTATCGGATATCCACTCGTAAGGAAAGTGATGAGTTTGTCGCATTC